GGTCGATATGTTGAACACCTGTAGCAAAATCTCATGTCTTGGTTTGCTATTTATTTTTATTGTTATTAAATATAGTTTAAATGTGTTGATGTTGGTTAAATATATTTTAAATTGTAATAAAATTCTGCATCTCTCATAGCAAATATTATTTTCGTTTTAATTGATGCTCACAGCTAGAATTTTTTTGCATTACGGCCGGTGTCGTTCAAAGCCTACTTATTTAAAGCGGGCGAATTTTTATATACTCTATATCTCGAAGAGGAATCGAGCAAAATATCAAGTGTGTTATATTTTTGGAAAGGTAATTTTAAATTCTATTCAATAAATTAAAAATATACAGGGTGTCCCATATAAAAATCAAATTTTCTGTTAATAATTCTTAAATTATTAACTTTAAAAAATTATACTTAAACCATTAAATTCTACGTAAAAGGTGCTTTGGAAATGTTTTAATAAAAATACAAAATTTTCCATAGCAAAAAGTTACAGCGATTTGTTAAAATGCATATTTTTGAAAAACACCCCGTAACTCCTAAACGGTAACACATATCGATATGCGGTTTTCACCATCATGTTTTTGACAAAAATTGAGCTCCAGACACCGATATTAGTTTTTGTCTATCTCCTCTAGGAAAGGGTGTTTCCATTTAAAAGCGTCGAATTTGACCCACCCCGTACACATATTTGATTCTCCTGATTTATTTTCAGTATACTACAATATTATATTTTTTAACAACCTGCAAATGATTTTGACTAGTCGTGCTAACACTGCTAAAGCGTCGTATAAACGTAAAGAGGGGTAATTTGGCTCTACTACAACTTCAACAATGATTTTCCCAAAAACTTGCGTGCGATTGTTAGCCCGTATTATATGTTGTTCGATAACCATGAATACAAATTACTGTTATGTAAATTCGTTAGGAAAATCTATTGTGGAAAATGTGAGCCTTGAGGTGTCAAGCCGAATATACCTACTGTTATAAAAAAATAATTGGATAGATTCGAAAAAATATAATTGGATGGAAAATTACATATGGCATTTAACGTTAAAGAAAAGTATTTATTATTTTCTTTAATAATAGTATTCAATCAAGATAAATTTGTGTTTTTATTAATAAGTAATGACTATTTAAATATCTATCATTACTACTTTAAGTAATTTAATATTACATCATTAGAATCAATAGCAATATATTTATATTCCAACAGATGGAACGATTGTCGATATTAAACTTATTCATTATAGTTACTTGTAAAGAATATGTTTTTTTGTAATAACTATTACAAATTATCTAGTTGTTGTCTGTGCATTAAAAGGGTGAATACAAAAATAATACATCAAAAAATTAGATAAATATCTATCTGTTGAAATGTCGAAATCCGTATAAACCGTCTTAAATATAAATAATGTTTTTTTTTTCCACAGCAATTTTTAAAATTGCCGTATATCTATCAAAAATAGTAGATAAAATAGTACTTTAACAGCGAGGATAGGTTAAAAACTTTATTTCTTCTCGCACGTTTTTTAATTGCTTCCATTTTTGAACATTTTTGTATTCCTTTTCATAAGTTATTCGGGATTTAAATGGAATAGTTTGGATATGGCGTTTGTCGCCTCAGCCCGAATATCTGTTGGTAATTTAATTATTTCGTTTTGAGCCATTTCTGGCTCCAATTCAAACAGCAATCGGCACGAAAGAGCATTAAAAATATTGACTCAAAACTGACAACTAGAGAGACAGCTTTATTTATTTGTCAAATTACATAGAAACCTACGCCAACCCAGCAAAATATGGTAGGCTATTAAGGTCGGCCAAAAAAAAAGATTTTTTAATTTCACTCAAAATGAGTTATTTGGGTCATCAATGACCTAAATACAAAATATTTTTTTGGTGTCTCTCTGGACAGACAGACAGACACCATATGTCTGTCCGTCTGTCTGTCTGTCTGTCTGTCTGTCTGTCCGTCTGTCCGTCTGTCCGTCTGTCCGTCTGTCTGTTTGTCTGTCCGTCTGTCTGTCTGTCCGTCTGTCTGTCTGTCCATCTCTCTGTCCGTCTGTCTGTCCGTCTGTAACACGATAACTCAAAAACCGCTAAACCGATTTTAACCAAATTTGGCACAAAAATACTGTGGCACCCGAGAATCTGGCCATTAGTTTTTGGTGGGGGTGGGTTGTTGGTAGGGGGTATGGGAGGAGGTTAAAAATTTTAAAAAATCGTAGCTCCAAAATTACAGTAGCTAGCGAAAAGCGGTTTTCAATTTAAGATTAGGAATAATATTTGCAATAAAATTTGTAATAACATTAAAATCAGTCAAAGTCGCAGTTTTTGAGATAAAAAAAATTGGAAAAATTCCCTTACTTTGAAACTAAAAGAACTGCCTACCAACTTTTTATTAACATATTTTAGTATGGGCGGCTATACGTGCGTCCCGTCGCCATTTTTTTCTAAACGTAATAAATTCTTTGAAATAATAATTTCTGAATGTTTTTTAAAACGTAACTCGCTATGAAAAAAATAGTGTTTTATACACGACAATAAAATTGCATTATCGTCTTCCGCAATTAATTAATTAATAATTAATTAATCTTTTCGGTCGACAATAAAATACCATTTTATCATCTTGTATAAAAAATAACTATTAGTTTTCAAAATATATGAACGTTAAAAATTTAAAACAATCGAATTTAATCGGCTGAATTTTTTTTTCGAAAAAACATTTTTTTTTATTGTCAATACTTTTTTGATAAATTGATCTCTTTAGTTTTACTTGTATATTGAACGGTTTTCGAGAAAAAAAAGCCCATCTTGATATCCATGTGCTCGTTTTCTATGGATTTTGAGATATGCAATGTAGTTCACATTTAATTCTTTATCTCGAAAGGAACATTTATTCATAATTTTTCATTATTCGATTTACACTTTCTCATTACAAGACATGCATAATTGTTTTTTACGCATATTACTATTTGCAAACAAAACCAAACCAAAAACAAATGAATATTGTCAATATAGATATAGAAAAGATATTGTAGATATAGAAAAAATCCTCCCAGAATCGCAAACGGGTTTTCGCACCAACCGCGGTACCGTCGATTCCATATTCTCCATCCGGCAACTACAGGAAAAAGTAAAAGAGCAGCAGTCTAAACTTTACGTTGCATTTATCGATCTAACAAAAGTCTTCGACTCTGTGAACAGAGATGCACTTTGGACAATTATGAAAAAGATCGGAGTACCCATCAAATTTCTTACAGTGTGTAAAAGCCTCAATAACAACAACAAATCAAGAGTGTCATATCATGGATCACTGAGCGATCCCTTCCTAACAAACACAGGCGTTAGGCAGGGATGTGTCTTAACGCCTCTCCTATTCAATATATTCATGGCAGCGCTCTCCATTATAGTGGACAGCAAACTGCAGGAGAGAGGTTTGGGCATTAGATACAGATACGACGGCGGTCTGTTCAACATAAAAAGACTCAAGGCAAAAACACGTACAAAATTCATCACAGAACTGCAATACGCTGATGACTGGGCTCTAGTTGCAAATACGTTACAGCAATTGCCAGAAATTTTGAACACATACATGAGCATACGAGGTCTTGGGACTTAAGCTGAACATCGATAAAACCAAAATCATGTGCACTCCCCCGGAAGATCACAACAATGCTATAAAAGTCGGAGATGAACTTTTGGAATATGTAGCGGAATTTAATTACGTCGGCAGTTTGTTTTCGGAAAAGGCCAATATCGACTCTGAAATTCAGCACAAAATTAGCAGCGCCTCAAGAGCATTCTGGAAATTAAAACAGAGTTTTCTACAATCATGACTTGAGCACAAAAACGAAACTTGCGGTGTACCGAGCGATAATAATTCCCACCATGTTATATGGAAGCGAAACCTGGGTGTCGTACCGCCGACACATGAACGCATTAAACAAGTTGCAGCAGAGACATCTCAGACAACTCTTAAGAATAAAATGGTTCCATCACGTCTCAAACGTATCGGTCCTCTCTAAACAGTCCTTGCTAAAGCTAACTGCGAGAGTATTGAGGTCATGATTACAAAGTCCCGCTTAAGATGGACTGGTCACGTATGCAGAATGCAAGAAAACCGCATACCAAAATCTCTGCTTTACGGTGAGCTTGTAGACGATAAGAGGAGGCCGGGTGGACAACTCAAAAGGTTCAAGGATATTTTCCACGAAAACTTAAATGGAATTAACAAGCGGAATGAGTGGGAAGAGGCAGCTCACAATAGAACGGAATGGAGAAGAATTGTAAAGTCAGTTAAGATCGACAACCAAAAAGTAAAGAGGCAACAAAGCAATGAGATTTTTGAATGTCCGGAGTGCGGTAGACAGATAACATCACGTATCGGTCTTTTCAGTCACAGAAAAGCTCATGAAAGAAAACGCCTTGCGTCAGCGAGTAATGGCGGTATGTATGTATGTAAAAAAATTGATCTCTTGAGTTTTACTTGTATATTGAAAGGTTTTCGAGAAAAAGAAGCCCATCTTGATATTCATGTGCCCGTTTTCTATGGATTTTGAGATATGCAATGTAGTTGATTTAATTCATCTCGAAAGGAACATTTATTCATAATTTTTTATTATTCGATTTACACTTTCTCTTTACAAGACACGCATAATTGTTTTTTACGCATATTACAATTTGCAAACAAAACCAAACCAAAAACAAATGAATATTGTCAATAAATCCTAATTTATGTCATATACTAACATACCAAATATCGTTTTTTTTTATCTGAAAAAATAAAAAAGTTATAAGGGTGAGCCACTCTGGAGACGTACCCGGTATGTTTCTAATTTCCCTCAATAATTATCTTACTTTGCCTAATAACTGAAGATAACTCGCTTACAATGAAACAGTCATTATGAATAGCATTACCCGATGTACTCCAAGCAACCTGCCTAAATATAGACATACCTGAGCTGAAATTGACCCATATTAATTCCATGTTCAATTCTGTTTCAGATGGACCACAATTTCGAACTAAACCACGATCTATGCAAGCGGACTTAGGTAAGTACACGCTTTTGCGTTTCCGTAATATACCACTTTTCGAAGACAATAAATTATACATGTTCGATGTACCTTCCCGGTAGTTATTTATTCAATAGCCACGGAGAATCATCTAACTGAATTACATACTTAGTTCTTTTATGAATTCGAAATGGATGCCCTTTGTAGTGGTGCACCCTATTTCTTTGTTTCAACATTTTTCTGTCGCATATTCACATTTGTCTATTTAATATTTTATCGGTTGGAAAATGTATCCATTTAATGTTACTGGAATAACGAAAAATTTATAATTTTGGGAAGTTATTTTGAAAACCTATAGATTAATCTAAATTTTTGTGGGGTCATAGATGTGCAATCTGCAAATTGACTACATCTCTGTATCCAGTTTTTAAAAGAAATTATGGAAGAAACTGTACACCACATTCTTAAAAAAGAAAATGGTATAGTTACTTGTATTAAATTCAAAATACCCTATATTTAAGCAAAAGTTAAATATATGTATATGTAGATTTTCCTTCCTTGAAATCTGGAAGATTTATTTTCTATTTTTTTTTATTCATACTCATTCTAAAAAAATTCTACTATTGCAGAAAATTAAGAAACATTTTTTTAATTTTTACATAAAATATACATTGTACAGGGTGGTTCAAATTGGGCGCTTTTAAAGGGAAACAACTTTTTCTATAAGAGATAGACGAATACTAATATCGGTATCTGTAGCTCAATTTTTATCAAAAGCATGATGGTAAAACCGTACATATATCTGATACCGTTTCTGAGTTACGGGGTGTTTTTCAAAAATGTGCATTTTTAACAAATCGCTGTAACTTATTTCCTTCTTCTTTCTTTTAACATTTCCACAGCTCCGTAGAATTTGATGGTTTAAGTATAGTTTTTTTTAATTAATAATTTAAGAGTTATCACAGAAAAATTGATTTTTTATTCGGGACACCGTGTATATTTTTAATTAACTGAACAGGACATAAAATTACATTTCCAAAAATATAGCACACTTCATATTTTGTTATAGTCTCCTTCGAAATACAGAATTTTTAAAAGTTCGCCACATTTAACTATTAGGCTTAGTACCCCTTATTGATGATCTACCCCTAACAGAACTCGAAAACATATTTTTCCAGCAAGACGAGGCACCGCCTCAGAACGCTAAAGTTATCAGCAAATTTGTGCAGCCAATTTCTAGAATAATTTAATAGCTATCGAAAAATTCCCAGCCGTTGGCTGTCGAGGCGCCTATGGATTTTTATCTGTGCGGAAGAATAAAGGTTATTATTTTCAAATTGTCCGTATAATCTAGACAAGAATTAGAAGTACTTAGCGGTTATGCGAGGGTATCTTTCATCCCACTAGGTTAATGAATTCCCTGCGAATTTTTAAAAATTTTATATCTCCAGGAATCGAGCAAAATATCAAATATGCTATATATATGGAAAGGTAATTTTAAATTCTTGTCAATGAATTAAAATATACAGGGTGTCCCATATAAAAAATCAAATTTTCTCTTGATAATTCTTAAATTATTAATTTTATAAAAATTATACTTAAACCATGAAAATCTACGTAAAAAGATACAAAAAATACAAACTATTCTATAGCAAATAAAGTTACAGCATTTGTTAAAAATGCACATTTTTTAAAACACCCCGTAACGTAATTCGTGATTATTTGGTTCAATAAATTTCATAATATGTATATTTTACATTTGGATTTTTTTTTATACGGCATGTCATAGTTAACTGGATACTATCGTGATATTTTCTGATAAATTACATTTATAAACGATTTATTTCAAAAATGTTTTGTCGCTTCTTTTGATTAATTTTAATTTCACTACTTTGAAGTGGGTTTGAAAATAAAAAAAAGTTCGTAATTGATCTTTTTCATGCGTATACATTTTACATTTTCACCGCAAGTAGCATTTTCTGTATTATATGATTATAAATCTATTTTTATATCCATTTTAACACGGGATAACATGAATTGACTTAAGATGTTTTTTCTCGTTTAATTAATATTAAACATTTCTCAATGATTATTTCAGATTCCACTGTCACACTTACGTGCGACGTCGATGGCAACCCTTTTCCAGATATCACGTGGTATCACGAAGACAAAAAGAAGGTGGTCAGCACCAGTCCGAATTTAACTTTAAAGGTGGAACATAGTACTGCTGGCCGGTACTACTGTAAAGCACACGTTTCCGGTTTTCAAGATATCGGTGCCGAGGCAGCCATTTATTTAAAAGGTACAAAAATTCATCTTAAATAAGTTCGGTAATAATATTTAATACATGTTTCTTCTATGCATCAAATTATTGCAACTTATAGTATTAAATTAATAAATACTTAGTGTACATATCTTATTTTCTCATTGCTATTCACCTTATTAAATTTTGTAGCGACATCTTAAACTTTTTTTATTATCAAGGCAAAACTAACATTATTTTCCGAAGCTAAAGTGGAATACACTGAAAAGTGATTTAGTCAAGTAATTATAAAAATTATTTAAAATTAATGAGGCAAGACATTGAACGAAGAGAGTTTAAAGAAGCTGCATATATGAACATCAGTTGGAAACTCTTCAGTCACAAACAGCATAGAAATTTTCAACCTTTGGTCTCCTCTTAAAGCAGGAGAAAATCAATCCAACTAAATTAGGGACTCGCCATTTTTAACAGGCACGAATGACTAAGTCACGTTTAAGTTTTCACACCTTAGTATTTAACAAAGTAGCTTAGGAGAATGTTGTTACTTTTAGCTTTATAACCATTATAAATTCACCTGTTGGAAACATCATGTCACAGTCTAAAGCTGTGTGTTTTATCATAATTTTATAAAGTAAATTTACAGCCTATTTCAAAAATAACACGTCTATCTATTTAGCATTCTTCGGTCCATCGTTGGACATATGTCTCTCCCAATCTCTCCCACTCTTCTCTGTCTCTCGCAATGTTCATCCATCTAGTAGACACTAATTGCAGGCGCGTGTTTCCTCAAATCATCCGCCTTTCTGTGAGGTCTTCCTCTACTTTTTTTTATTTTTCCAGGACCTCCAGTGCATTTGTTCTATCGATCGTCCCTTTGTCTGATATTGTCACCCGCAAACTTCCATTTTAACTTTGCTACTACTCTTCTAACAATCCTTACTCTTGTTTTATTTTTGATTCATTCATTCCTTTTTCTATCTGCCAGTCTTACATGTAGCATTTGCCTTTCCATTGATCTTTGTGCTTTTGTGACCTTATCTATGTTTGATTTTGTAACTGTCCAGGTCTGGGATCCATAACTGAATACAGGGGGAGTGTACATTGATTATATACTCTGATTTTGAGGTGTTGTGGATAATTTTTGTTTTTTAATATGTAGCTTTAGTTTATCGAATGCTGCCCAGGTGCCCAGGCAAATCTTATCCGTTTCTTTATTTCAGCTGTTTTCTATTGTTTATTGCTCTGTTTTCTATTTTTAGTTTAATAATAATTTGTCCCAGATATATTATATATATATATATATATATATATATATATATATATATATATATATATATATATATATATATATATATATATATATATATATATATATATATATATATATATATATATATATATATGTTCCCGTCTCCCTTCTTGGGACATAGGGCTTCTAAGAGATGTTTCCATCTGATCCTATTCTGAGCTGTCTGTTTGATCTCTCCCCATGTTTTCCCGACCTCTTGGGCTTCAGAGGTTACTGTTCTTCTCCAGGTATTCCTTGGTCTTCCCCTGGCACGTCTCCCTGTGGATTCCATTCAAGTGCCTGTCTAGCGATATCTCTGTGGGGTCTGCGCAAAATGTGCCCAATCCAGCCCCACTTTCTTTTCTTAATTTCGATATCTATTCGATTTTGTGATGTTCTTCTCAACAGTTCTTCGTTGTTAATTTGATTGGGCAAGAAAATTCTCAATATTCTTCGAAGACACTTGTTAACAAACACCTGTAGGCGATCCATGAGACCACGCGTAACCTTCCATGTTTCGCATCCATAAAGCAAAATAGATTGACATTGCTATTGAAGAGCTGGACTTTAGTTTTTTTGCTATATATAGAGGAGTTCCACACAGGTGTAAGCATGCCAAAAGCTCTTTGTGCCTTCAAAATCCTTTCCTCTATATCTTTCTCTGTGCCCCCATCGCTGTGAACCATACTTCCCAGGTACTGAAATTCATCAACTCTTTCGATGGCTCGGTTGGAGAGGTATAGATCTTGGTTGTTGGGAGTATTTGACCTCATTTCTTTGGTTTTCGCCACGTTGATTTGAAGACCGACATTATTAGCTTCCTCTTGGAGTCTAAGAAGTTTTTGAGACATATCCGAATGTGAATGGGAAAAGATGCATAGATCGTCTGCGTAATCCAGGTCTTCTAGCCTGCTTAAGAGTCCCCATTGTATCCCTAGTGGTTCTTTAAATGCTCTATTTAGTGCTACATCCAGAACGATGTTAAAGAGTAGCGGCGAAAGTATATAGCCCTGTTTTACACCTACTGCAATAGAAATTTTCTCCCCCACTTAACCTTTATGTAATACACAGCTTGTAGCATCATGATAAAGCATTTTAATCATGCGGATTATTTTTTCGGGTATTCCTTTTTCTCTCAAAGCTTTCCAGATAGCTATGTGTTTTGTAGTATCGAATGCTCTTTGAAAATCCACGAACACCATGTATAATGGCGATCTGAACTCTTGAGATTGCTCTATTATTATTCTGAGAGTATTAATTAGGTCGATACATGATCTTTGAGGCCTAAAGCCTGCTTATTCTTTTCTCAAAGTCGGTTCAAGGGCATCTGATATTCTTTTTTGGATGACTATAGCAATTATCTTGTTAATGGTGTTAAGTAAGGTAATGCCTCGCCAGTTCTTACACTGGGATAATGTCCCAGATATATTAACTTGGTCTAAATATTGGTCAAGTGCGAGTCGGACTCGCGCACGAAAAGTTCCGTACCATTCATTATCTATACGTAGTGTTGTGCCACTTGAAAATTTCAAATGAAATTTTCATGTCGGCAACTTTTCCAATGTGAAATTTTCATATTTTAAAAAAGTGAAATTTCATTGAAATTTCAAGTGAAAGTTTCAATTCGAATTTTTCAGCATAGAGGTTAAATTTTCAGAAATGTATCGTGAAATTTCAACTTACAGGTGAAATTTCAAGTGTAATTTTCATAAACCTCGCGAACTCCTTTATCGTGTTCGTATGTCGACCGTATCCAAGGTTATTAAAAGGTAAGGTTGTCTCGTAACTCGATCCGCCATTATCGAAAACGTCATCCACTACGTCATAGGAATGATACCGTTCATAGATAAAGGGATAAAAACTGCCCACAGTCCGAGAGTGCATTTCCGAATCGATATTCATTGTGTACTTTATTGTTTAGAGTGTATGGCGTCAATAGTTTTCAGTTGTTTGATGTGTGTTTTCTTTATTGTATTGTCCATTTATCTCTCTTTGTCGGTTGCATTTTATTTTCTATTCCTTTTATCTATGATTTTATACGTTCTATCTACGTCACAAGGATGCTATTCCGCTTCGCTCTTATTGGTCTAAAAGTTACGAGACAACCTTACCTTTTAATAACCTTGGACCGTATCGACGTAAGTATCGATCGTTGATTTGCTCGATTTACTTGCGCATGTGAAGAGGACCGGCGCGCGGCGCTTGACATTGACAAATGAAAAACCGCAGTAGATGTAGATAGATAGAGGTTATGATTTTCGTTGAAAATGTTGATGTACTATTAGATTTGTTATTTTTGTGCATTTTTTGTGTTTCACACTTCATAAAGTTTATTCTGTGACCTGTTTACTTACCTGTGACCTGTGTTCTGTGTTGATTCCAATTTTTAAAGAAATAATGGTTAAGCCCAAAAATAGTATTTGGAAATATTTCTCTAATGATCAAAATAATACCAAAAAAGTAAAGTGCATTATTTGTAACGAAATTCATTATAAAAATGCAATTCGTTAATAAAAAAAACATTTTTGTAATTTTAAAAAGCGCCTATGGATTTTTATCTGTGCGGAAGAATAAAGGTTATTATTTTCAAATTGCCCGTATAATCTAGACAAGAATTAGAAGTACTTAGCGGTTATGCGAGGGTATCTTTCATCCCACTGGGTTATGAATTCCCTGCGAATTTTTGAAAATTTTATATCTCGAGGAATCGAGCAAAATATCAAATATGCTATATATTTGGAAAGGTAATTTTAAATTCTTGTCAATGAATTAAAATATACAGGGTGTCCCATATAAAAAATCAAATTTTCTCTTGATAATTCTTAAATTATTAATTTTATAAAAATTATATTTAAACCATGAAAATCTACGTAAAAAGATACAAAAAATACAAAATATTCTATAGCAAAAAAAGTTACAGCAATTTGTTAAAAATGCACATTTTTTAAAAACACCCCGTAACGTAATTCGTGATTATTTGGTACAATAAATTTCATAATATGTATATTTTACATTTGGATTTTTTTTAAACGGCATGTCATAGTTAACTGGCTACTATCGTGATATATTCTGATAAATTACATTTATAAACGATTTATTTCAAAAATGTTTTGTCGCTTTTTTTGATTAATTTTAATTTCACTACTTTGAAGTGGGTTTGAAAATAAAAAAAAGTTCGTAATTGATCTTTTTCATGCGTATACATTTTACATTTTCACCGCAAGTAGCATTTTTTGTATTATATGATTATGAATCTATTTTTATATCCATTTTAACAAGGGATAACATGAGTTGACTTAGGATGTTTTTTCGTTTAATTAATATTAAACATTCCTCAATGATTATTTCAGATTCCACTGTCACACTTACGTGCGACGTCGATGGCAACCCTTTTCCAGATATCACGTGGTATCACGAAGATAAAAAGAAGGTGGTCAGCACCAGTCCGAATTTAACTTTAAAGGTGGAACATAGTACTGCTGGCCGGTACTACTGTAAAGCACACGTTTCCGGTTTTCAGGATATCGGTGCCGAGGCAGCCATTTATTTGAAAGGTACAAAAAATCATCTTACAACATGTTTCTTCTATGTATAAAAGAGGATACTAATTAACACGAACTAAAAAAACACTAATTGTCCATTGCAACTTATAGTGCAATGGACTTAACTTAATATATACTTGGTGTCCCATTTGTCTCATTGCATTCTCATTATTAAATTTTGTAGCGACATCTTAAACTTCTAAATTTTT